AATCTCCTTGAGATTTTGCTCAAGGCCTTTTGATGCCTCTGCATCTAAACTGTTTTAACTAGCTATCTGCCTGACCCTACAGCTCAAGAGAAGAAAGAAGACCAAAAACTCTCTTCTCTATTAAATAATAATCAAATACTCTATTAAATAATAATCAAATACCTTTGTTGGTCCATATAATCATGTAAAGCAATGTTAAATCAATCTGTGAAATGAGAACATTAATTACTTGATATTATAATCCTATGATGGTATTTTAATAAGTAATGTTGTTGTTTATGTTGTTTATGTGCTTAGCAGACGCTTTTACCCAAAGCGACTTACAATTTTTTTAACCTATAGGGCATGTTGTGTAATGTAACTTTTAAACTACACACAGGGTATCTGCAGATTTAAGGGAGCCAAATTTAAGACTTTTTAAGACCTTTTTTAAGGCCACTTTGACCAAATTTAAGCTATTTTAAAAATTAAATTTAAGCGATAATTTCCAGCTATTGCCTGGAACCGGAGCTAACCACGTCGCGAACGTGGGATTAGCCATCCAGTTACCATTAAACTTGCCCTTCCCCATGGCTCAAGCTCCCACTAGCTTAACCAGCTAATGTGCTCATCTAGAAAAATAGCCCCCTTTCACAACCAACTGACTGCGTACGGTTCCGCTTACGCCAACGTCATACACAAAAAATGCTGAACACTAACTAGAAATTTACAAAGTTTTTATAGAAATAAAATAATCTTGTTTATTGGGTCTTTGGTAATTTAAGACCTTTGGCAACTGGATTTAAGGATTATTTGTAATTTTTAAGGATTTTTAAGGCCTTAAATTAGGAAAAGCTAATTTAAGACTTTTTAAGACTTTTTAAGGACCCGCAGATACCCTGTACACACTAGACTGATCACATGTAATGTTAATCACATGACACATTCCTTTGTCTCTCCAATCAGAGCTTTCCTTTCTGGTGCGTGGCGTGATCTGTGTGGTTTTTATATTTGTGTCCAATTTTGATTCGACCATAAATTAAAACATCTGAATTATAAAACTAACTCCCACGTCACCCTTAACTCAGTTCAGACGCTCTAGAGTTGCGAGCCGGCCACTCGTAAATTTTTAACCACAAAGAACCTAACGACAAGCTGGATAATAAACCTGTTGCAAGCTCCACCTGACGCAATGCTCCTTCAGAGTAAAAGCTGAACTCACTGACCCTTCAGGGTCCCGCTGACACTGTCAACCAACTGCCGCTTACCTGGGGGCATTCCAAGACTAGTCTGTCGTACCGTACGCTGTTTCACCGGCTTCGGTACCAAAGAGGGTCTGAGAACCTGGCATTCTGGATCTGCAACGGAGGTCTCCGCAAGGGTATGTAGCTCGGCAAGATAGCGTCTGAATGTGGTTTTTGAAACTCGACTATAGTTTAGAGCAAGCATTCGCTCCCACACAGAACTAAGGCTTCTCTGGAAACGAGAGTTCTGATAACAACATTCCACATTTACACCATCCATCTTGCCTCATTCACAACTAGATCCATTCATCACACAGAGTGTTAAGGTTGGTTTATGCTTGACGCGTCCGCGAGGTCTGCACGGCTCCGCGCGGCAAAATTGCGTCATTTTAACAACCACGCCCCTCCACCGCGTCTCCGCACAGCCCAAAATTTCTGCAACGCGCACCTAGGGAAAATTTCTAACCACGCGGACGGTCGGACGTGGAAAAACATGGCGGACCGGCTAGAACTAGTATGGCAGAGGTTCGTAAATACAGACATTTGTATGATTCAGCTCTCAGAGATCACCGTGATCAACATGTAGTTAATAATTCTTGGAGAGAAATAGCTCGCACTGTCGGAAAAGACGAGGACGCTGTTAAAAATGCTGAAATGCCATGTTGTAAATAGTAATTTTTACTTCTACTATGGTGTAGTGTTAGATGCATGCCGTAGAGCTCCATGCTGCCCCGTTCAGTTTGGGAGAATATTGGCTCACCGCAGAGACAAGCCGCACGAACCATAAACGCTGCGAGTTGTGAAGCGCGTTCCATCCGCGAGCCGCATCACCAAGCGGAAAGTGAATGCGTCAAGCATAAACCAAGCTTTAGAGTTAAAGTTAGAGTTAGCCTTGTTTTAAATTGTTTAGAAATAAATCTTCTTAAACTTTAAAACTTGTCTCTCTCTTTGACTCTGGGTTATTACAAATTATTACCTAATCCCTGCAATAAAAAGTTCATATCTTCTGATTAAAGGTAGTATTCAAAGATACATCAAATTGATTCCATATTTTCTAAGGAATCTCACCTTTGATGGTTTCCTACGTAAGATGTAACTATCGATACACTACAACAGCAATGCGACTCTACCACTGATTATCATCTCCACAAGTAACACAAGCCTGGAGGAGCTTTTGCTGTGTGGTGGAGTTGCTAATGGTTAGCTTCTACTAGCTGAGACATTCTCTGCCGTTTCCTGGACGCTAAGCCAACAACAGCCTTCTCCGTCATGAATCAAGATGAGTGAGTCCATTAATGTTAAGTGACAGTGTGACTTAGATCTGTCAGGCTTTTCTAATCCTAGAGTTTCACCGTCTATTTTCCATCCGAAGCTAATGCAGCAGATAGACGTAGGAGACTATTTTCATGTTCAGCCTGCATGAAAAACTCAGAGACCGATTATAATCAGAAATATTCACTAAAAGTGTTCCACACCTTTAAAAGAACCACTTTTTTATAATTAACAAAGGATAAAATAGCAGCTAGTTCAAATGCCACGCACCAAACTCTTAGCGTGATTAAAATTAAAAAAATAATATTTTCCTTGTGTTGCGATACATTTTTAAAGTTTAAATTCTGTTTTGGGTGTCTTGATTCAACAAAAACATTTAATTTCCACAGTGTGTGTTTATTTTTTACTCAGTCTAGGTCTGAATACTATTTAATATTTCTCTTAATCAAAGATTAAAGAAACTGCAGATCTGGCAGGCAGAGCTACTGTGGATTTCACCGGTTATTACTGGTAGCCTGGTAGGTTGGGTTGCGTTTTGCACAAATTTTAACAAATTTAACGAGACTCACTAGCTGAATTTCTACTGCAGTTTGAGGTCGGTGGTTCAACAGCTGAAGTTTTTCTGCCCTGATGATGACAAAAACAAATCAGATTAACAGAAAAAGGCTAAATGTTAAGACACTGTCCATCGTATCAACACAACTAAATCAAAATAAAATGTTTATTAGATCTCACTGACTTTGTGAGTTTGTGGGGCATCATGGTGGTGAGGAACTCCTTGACAATCTCAGGACTTTGTCTGCTGGACGGCGTCTTCGACAGGTACTTAAGTGTCTGATGGCGAACCCACAGGAGATTATGTTTGTAATAAATATGACCAAAACATTTATATAAATGCAGGAAGAGAGATGTGGCCTGACCTCATACATGATAGTGTTGAGGTTCTGCTGCCCGGCACTGTGTTTGCTCTTCCCCCCATCTTTCCTCTGTTCCTTCAGATCTATGAGAAGTTTGAACACCTGAGCAGTAAAAAAAAAGAAAGTAAAAGTTACAAACTGATCTGTTTGACTGAACAGTGAATAACACGTCATGCGAGGGTAAACCGACTATATTACCTCATAGTTGCTGAGCATTGCAGCACTTGAATTTTTGCTGAAAACACAAAAAGTTGAAAGTTTTGAATTGATGTAGTTGTTTTGAGGCTGCATGGAAGGGAGGAGCTGGTGCTGCTGCCTCACAGCAAACAGGTTGCAGGTTCGAATTCCAGATGCAGCCTTTGTGGAGTTCTCCACTGCATGCGTGTTTTCTCTGTATGGATACTCTGTTTCCTCCCACAGACCAAACGCATGCATCTCAAGTTAACTGTTGACTCTAAGTTGTCTCTACCTGTGAGTGAGTGCATGTGTCTCTGTGATGGACTAGAGAGCTGTCCCCTGTCCACCATCAACTCGGAATATAGAGGAATGAGCAGTTAAGATGATTAATGCGTTTTTTGTCTCCATGTGGGTTAAGAAATTAAACCTATAAAAATGCAATCGAGAGTAAAATATTATTCTGTCCATTTACGAATCGTTTAGTAAAAATAAATAAATAAAAATCAGCTAAAAGTTTCATTTAAAAGAATTAAAGACTTTAGAAAAAAGTATTCAGTCATAACAAAAGGACCGTGTTGTTTGGCTTTAATGGTTAATACTGACTCGTTTTTTGTTTTTAAATTTTAATCAGCTAGGTTGAACAGTTTTTCGTCCCAGACCGAACTGAAAATGTGTCTCTGCTGTTTCGCTAGCTCTGTTCGCTTTCATCCATCAATAATAAACCAAAAACTGAAAACTACGGCTTATAGTTGTTGTTAAAAACACAATTCACAACAGCTACTTAGCAAAGTCTCTTGCTAAAATAAACTAAATGAAAGGTAAAAAATGAAATCCTTACACTTCCATTTATGCGCCCGGAACTGCGGTACGTTGTTACACCTTCCGTGGGGAAACGGAGAGCATGGATAACGGTTCCGCCGACACAAATGTAGGGGAGAAAAAAGTCTCAAAAGGTCTGCTTGTGTGTGTGTGTGTGTGTGTGTGTGTGTGTGTGTGTGTGTGTGTGTGTGTGTGTGTGTGTGTGTGTGTGTGTGCGTGTGTGCGTGTGTGTGTGTGTGATCGACAGGCGGATTGGTTCGGCGTCTGCAGTGAGCCGATCTGTCGTGGTGAAGAGGGAGCTGAGCCAGATGTCCTAATCTAACAGATTTTAAACATTAAAATACTCAACAGAAATAGTTCAGAAAGGAAATTAAAATGTTCACAACTTTGTGTGTGATTTATTAGTATTATCATGAGTATTTATTGTGGCAGAAGCTGGTGTGGTCCACCACTGAGAAGCTTCTCTAACATGAAGACTTTAATTATTCTACAGGTTATTGTTCAGCCTTCTGATGCGCACGCACACACACGAGTGTTGGTGAGCGGCTGCGTCTGACTGCTGACGCTCCGTGTGTGTTTTTATTTTTGCAGTGAGACAAACACACCTCACACTGTCCAGAGTTTGTTTTTTAAAGCTTCTATTAAATCCACCATGTTGATGTATTTTAACACGTTTCCTCTACGCTGCAGGGGTTAAAGTTTACATTACGGAGTAAAAGTTCGGCGGACACGTTTGTTTATATTTGGCCGCTGCGCGCCGGGTGGGGGGAGGGGGGACTAGGTGCTGCACACAGAAAGCTGGTGTGATCAGATCTGAAAAGCGTTGGTAGATCACGTTTATTTTTCACGGAGATCAGCTGCGGATTCCTCTTCCGTCAGCATTCTAGGAATCGAAACTTGGAATCTAAATAAAAAACTTTGAACGATTCCGGGAAAAACTAACAGTTGGTCCCGGTTCCAATCGACGCTCGATGCCCAACCCTAAATTGACTAATAATTTTTGTACTTGTAAACTGATCTGTGTGTCCTGTAGACTTGTCCGTGTGTACCAGGTGATTTGTGTGTGTGTGTTCAATGATTTGTATGTGTAAGAACTGAATTTACACACAAAAATATAAACACAAGTTACAAATCAAGAGTTACACACACACAAATCTTTAGTTACGCACACACAAATGTAGAAAAACACACACAAATCTAGATACACATAAACAAATCTAGATACACACATACAGATCTTTTGAGACTTTTGTCCTCCCCATACAAACATGAGGTTTTTGCTGCACTCTTATGTCCTTGTGGCAGCAAGCAGCAGAGATCCCCCCCCCCCCCCCCCCCATTGGGTCTGTTCCATCTTTCATGATCTTGTGGTGGTATGATCTCGTTGACAGGCTCTGGTCTTGTGCTGCTATCAACAATCCTTCAGTTTCTGCCTTCAGTCCTGCACTGCGGAGCCACTGATATGATCTTGTTCTACGTCTGCTTTTTTTTACTCTCAAGGGGTATTGTCCATGCATTGGCTTTTCCTCCCATGTTTCTCTCATCCTCTTTTGGGCCCATTTCTTTGCCTCCCTTTTGGTCCTCTTGGCAAAGCTTGTTATGGTTTCTTTCTCTTTTCTTGCCACATCTGGGATGTTTAGTTCCTGTGCATGTCTTATAGCTTCTTTTGTAACAGAGTACAGCTTCTTGCGAGCTTCATGTTGACAAACGAGGATCAGTAGGGCATTGTCTGTTGTTTCAAGGTAGGTTTTCAATGCCATTGTTGTTGTTTAGTAAGCCATCTCAAGTTGGGTAAGTCCTCTGCCTCCAATCTGTCTTGGTAGATACATTCTTTCAACATCCGGTTTTGGGTGGTGCATTCTTTCAGATGTCAGCAACTTTCTGGACTTGGTGTCTAGTTTCTTTACTTCTTTAAGTTGCCAGTTGATGATGTTAAAACTGTATGTAACCGTTGGAACAGCTGAAGTGTTGATGGCTTTGATCTTATTTGCAGCATTAAGTTCACTCTTGATAACAAGCCTGACTCTTCTGTAGTACTCTTTTTTGACTTTTTTCTTTCATGGTAGCATGTTGTATTCCATCTCCTTCATTGACCCCAAGATATTTGTATGTATCCTCTTGATTGAGCTTCATTATGACAGTCTCTTGGTCCAATTGTATGTTTGAAGTTGATGTGAGTTTTCCCTTTTTTAATGTAGCCTTTGCACATTTGTCAAGTCCAAATTGCATGCAGATGTCATCACTGAAGAGCTTGACTATTTGGAGTAGTCCCTCTTGTTGGTTATCATTTTTGGCATAGGTCTTCAGATCATCCATGTAAAAAAAGGTGGTTGATCTTCTTACCTTGAACCTCATATCCATGTTCACTGTTGTTTAGCATGGTGCTGAGTGGGGCTAGACATAGACGGAAATGGAGAGGTGATAGTGAGTCTCCTTGAAAGATACCACACCTGACTTTTATTGGTCTTGTCTTGATGGATCCTTCCTCATAAGTGAGCATCATCGTGGTCCTCCATGATTCCATACTTGTCTTCATGAAGTTGATGAGAGTTGGTGAGATTCTATGAAGTTCCATTACTTTGATGATCCATGAGTGTGGTACACTGTCGAAGGCTTTCCTGTAGACGATCCATGCTGTACTCAGGTTTTTCTTCTTCCCCTTGCTGTCTTCCAGTATCATCTTGTTGATCAGAAGTTGGTCTTTGCTTCCATAACTTCCTCTCTTACAGCCTTTTTGTTCTGGTGGTAGCATGCTGTTGTTGTTGAGGAAAATGTATGTTCTCTCTGTGACGATACTTGTGAGGATCTTGTACATCGTTGGTAAGCATGTGATTGGTCTGTAGTTCTTAGGGTTTTTTGTGTCATTGGTCTTGGGTAGCAGATATGTTAGACCCTGTGTTAGCCAGGTTGGGCTCTTTATTGGTGTTTTAATGATTTCTGTGTATCCTCTTGCAAGATCTTCATGTATGACTTTGAGGTGTTTAAGCCAGTAGTTATGTACTTTGTCTTCTCCAGGTGACTTCCAATTATTTGCTTTCTTTAGTGCCAGTATTACTTCTGTCTTGCTGATGCTTGTCCACTCCTGTACTGGTCAGCTCTTCAATCTTTCTACTTCTTCTTTGATCCATTATGCTGCTTCATTGTGATTTTTCTCTTTTTCCCAAACATTGCTCCAGAACTCTTCTACTTTTTCCAGAGATGGTAGTTCTTTGATTTCTATCTGTTTCTTTCCAAGTTCTTTGTAGAACTTCTTTGGGTCAACTTTGAAAACATTGTTGTGTCTGAAGTGTTTACTTCTCTTTTCATATCTTCTGATTCTTTGTGCCTTGGCCTGTATCTGTTGTTTGAGCTTTTCTTTTGCTTCCACAATGTCAGTTGTGTCCTGGATGTTATACCTCTTCTTCATTTGCCTCTCTTTTCTTTTATTAGTAATGGTACCTTTTTCAATTTCCGTGAGTAGAGAGAGATCTTTTCTCTTCTTGAGAATGTCCTTCTCGATGTCTGCCTTCCATTTGGGCTGTTTTCTTTTTCCTTGTTTTTCTATTTTCTTGGTGAAACTCAGGTCTGTGATTACTGTAGCTGCTGCATAACATATTTCATTAATTGATGTGAGGTCCATTGGTTTAGAGTAGTCTTGTTTGATGTCTTGTATTGCTCTGTTGGCTAGGCTGATTATTATTATTATTATTATTATTATTATTATTGAGGCGCTTACTCCCACAGACATCATCTACATATTCATGTCTATGGTTTAGTACTTATTACTCGTTAACTCCTGTGTTAAATCATAAATCTGCTGGGAAATGCCTTTTTCTCTCATCTTTGAATTGTCTCTAAACTTTAGCAGGCTGAGTTTTAAGTGTACCGATTGTATCAAAACTGTTATGATTTATTTGTTTTATTTTCATCAACAAATTATCTCTTTCATGTCAGCATAAACACAACCAGCAGGTCACTGCAGGGAATCGAACCTCACCTCATTACTGAAAGTGCCATTACCAGTGCTAGTAACACTTTACAATAAGGCTCCCTTTTATTAACATTACTTGGTACATTAATAAAACTATCACATGTAGCGTATTTCTACATACTAGAATCAACACTGTTTGCTATCAGTTGTTAGATTCTGAGAATGAACAAGCACATTAGCATATGAGCCTATATCATGTATAAATATCCAAGATACTTATATAATCGATAGAAGTTCATACACCAACCTACTTGGTCTATTTTTAATCCAAAGATTAACGCTTAATTTAAGATAATTAAATTTAATAGCAAATGTTTATTTATGAATCAGAAGTTAGGAATCTTTGCTTTTTCAATAACCAGAGATATTTATACCTTTCTGTGTTTCATTTAAAAAATGAGGCAGAGTTTAAAAATGAAGAATTTATTACTAACAATTTTAAACTTGACGATTTGAAACGACAATTTAAATGACAATTAAAATTGACAATTCATGGATGACAATTTACCAGCTTTGATATTAAAACTTGTTTTAAAGGCAAACCTGTGACTGGATGGAAGGTTAAAATGAAATGAGAGCTTGGATGCGTGAATGAATTCTCAGAAGGTTTCTTTCAGAGAGAGAAGCGCGTTCTGGGTTGGAAATGATGGTTTTGCAGCTAACTGTTGTTTTTTAGAGAAACAGCATCAGACGTCATCTGTCGAAAATGTGTACCTCACCCACTTTCAGGAGACCCCCTTCTGGATCCGAGATGTCAGGTGGAGATGATTTCCTCCGGGCACGAGGCTGGTAGAAGCACCTCAATGCGACCAAATCAGTCCTGGGATGTCTCCGTGGGTCACACGACTGATGAAACTATTTGCGTCTCAAAATCAATAACTCTGAAGGAGTTTTGAGTCTTACTTAAAAATCAATAACTCTGAAGGAGTTTTGCGTCAGCTGGTTATCGTGCGTTTATTCAAAGCTATTCTATCAGCATGACAGAACAGCAGGTGGAGGTTAGGCCGGCCGTTCCCTTATCCTCCGGATGGTGGTTGGTTCTCGAACTGAAGTTTTGCTGCTGGAAAGTTAGTTTAAACAAACCCACAGAACACGCCCACTCTCAGCAAGAAAGCTTTGGTCATGAGTCAAAGACATGTGATGGCAGTTACTTTTACCCT